GGTTGGCAGGAGCAGGGACCAAGCAACGGGAGCTCATCCGGTTGTGGGGATTCAAACCGCTGACCTTCTGATCGGCAAGCCCTAGGCTCAGTGGTTTAGACCGCAGCGCCACCCGTGTTCTTTTTGGGGGCACCACATGAGATTGCAGCCCCCCAAAAGCTTTCCTCGGGGAGGAATTGCGCCACGAAATCATGCAAGATCGTGGCAAGCAAAATGGCAGCCGTTCTCTTGTGGTGAAATATGGGATGTCTTAGGCAAAGATCACAAGACGACCTGGCTGGTAGCCAGATTCTGCACCCAGATTTGTAGGCACAGATCATCCTCTAGAATAAAATAGCTTACTAGGGAAATGATGAAGTCGCCCTTTGGGGTGCCTCAGGGTCAATTTTCATGGTAGCCCAAATCTCAGTTGTACTGGTGTATGTATGTATCTCAATTTTAACTCATGAGCTATTGCTGCAATCTGCTCTGATTGTATATATTATTTTTATGAAAAACTGTTTTTATTGTGTTATGCGAGCTGGTCTGTGACCGTAATAAATTATCTATCTATGGGATGTCCTGGTTTTCCTGGGGAACTTGGGGACTTTGCAGTGGTAGAATACCTGTTTTGTATGCAGAAGATCACAAGCAGCATCTCCAGCAGGAATCCCAGTGGGAAGGTCTCACCAGCTACCGGTCACGGTAGCTATTCTCTGCCTCCATGGTTGGAGGCTGGAACACTTCTGAATCCCAGTTGCAGGAAGTCAAAGGAGGAGAAAGTGGCTCTTCCACTCAGGATCTGCTTGAGAGTTATGTATTACAGAGCCAGTGTGGTGTAGTGGTTAAGAGCGGTGGACTCGTAATCTGGTGAACCGGGTTTGTTTCCCCGCTCCTCCACATGCAGCTGCTGGGTGACCTTGGGCCAGTCACACTTCTCTGAAATCTCTCAGCCTCACTCACCTCACAGAGTGTTGTGGGGGAGGAAGGGAAAGGAGAATGTTAGCTGCTTTGAGACTCCTTAAAGGTAAAGGGACTCCTGATCATTAGGTCCAGTTGTGACCGACTCTGGGGTTGCGGCACTCATCTCGCTTTACTGGCCGAGGGAGCCAGCGTACAGCTTCCGGGTCATGTGGCCAGCATGACTAAGCCACTTCTGGCGAACCAGAGCAGCACACGGAAACGCCGTTTACCTTCCTGCTGGAGCGGTACCTATTTATCTACTTGCACTTTTGATGTGCTTTCGAATTGCTAGGTTGGCAGGAGCAGGGACTGAGCAATGGGAGCTCACCCTGTTGCGGGAATTCGAACCACCGACCTTCTGATCGGCAAGTCCTAGGCTCTGTGGTTTAACCCACAGTGCCACCCGCGTCCACAAATAACCCAGAGATGCATTTTAAATAAAAGGATACATTCTACTCATGTAAAAACATGCTGATTCCTGGACCGTCTGCGGGCCAGATTTAGAAGGTGATTGGGTTGGATCTGGCCCCCGGGTCTTAGTTTGCCTACCCATATGTAAGACTGTTGGCTGAAAGGCCACCCCTACTACTTTTAATCTCTGCTGCGTAAGAAATTCCTCTTGTTCATTCTTCACATGCTTGTGTGATTTTATCCTTTTGTTGCCTGTGTTAAGCTGCATGCATGTATCTTTCAACAGCCATAAAGCTTGTGTCAACCATGACCTCCTTTGTCCCGACTGCATTGTACACCCGGCAAGAGACACACTTCTAAGAACCAGTTAAAAATGGGATGTTTTGCGGAGCTTCCAGATCAAACTCTGGAACCCGAGTTCAGGGATCCTAACATTAAATTCCTGCAATAGGAAGGTTGCTGACCCAGTCCCCTCAAGGAGAACATCTTGGTCTCCTGGAACTGCCACTCTCCCAATCCACCTGCCTTTGCAGCTATTTATGATCACAGGCCAAATGGTTTTATGGCTGCTAGATGGCCATCTTTTCAAAGGTCAATCACTTGATAACAGCTGATGGTTCATCCATGGGAGTTAATGGTAGGAGACAGTCTCCAGATAGCCAGGAATGGCTCTCTAACTATTAGTCTCATCACATTGTGTCAGTGCTGAGAACTAGGGCAGGGGTCAGCAAACTTTTTCAGCAGGAGGCTGGTCCACTGTCCCTCAGACCTTGTGGGGGGGCCGGACTATATTTTGGGGAAAAATAAATAAATGAATTCTTATGCCCCACAAGTTACCCAGAGATGCATTTTAAATAAAAGGACACATTCTACTCATGTAAAAACACGCTGATTCCCGGACCGTCCGTGGGCCGGATTTAGAAGGTGATTGGGCTGGATCCGGTCCCCGGGCCTTAGTTTTCCTACCTATGAGCTAGGGAGAAGATAGTGAAATTGCTCAAAGCAAACTTTTGAATTTGTAGGAACGCCGTGGGAGTTTTGGGTGCAGTGAGTCGGTTGAAGGGTGTGCATCTTAGGGATATGTTGGAGGAAAACAGTCACGTGTAGAGATCCTTCGAAATCTTATTCTTTATTACTTTTTTAAATAAAGGTTTTCTACGCCGCTCATAAAGGTAGGATGCTTTTGGGTAGTTTGCAACTAAGAATACAAATGCAGAGAAGGAGGAAACACAACACAGGATCAACCGCAATGTCTGAGCGGGGAGTCAAGACCTGATACTATGAAAACTGCTTAATTTCTTCTTATTCCTTATCTAGGGTGGCTTGTTTGTTTTGGGGAGAGGTTGCCAAAAGGGTGCAAGGAAGCCCACCATGCTGTGGGGATAGCAGTTAATCTGTCAATTTCGTTTTCTCCCGCTTTCTCATTTTCCCAATCTTAAACCCAACTGTACAATTAATTCCTCATGAAAATTCACAAGACTTTTTAGTGTGACTTTCACATGTTTGCAGAACAATTTCCACGACCTTGCAATTTTGTAAGTTATTTTCACCAGCAGATGCATTTGTAACCACATCTCACCCTATTTATATTAATCCCAGTACAACATTGCTGAAGTAGACACCCACGTTGCAAAATCCAGCAAAGTGCTCCCTTTGAAGGCTGGCTGTATTTCAGCTCCTGTATTGTTCCAAAAAGGGCAAATTACACATGTTTGCCTTGAAATCCAGAATGAATTGAATTCGTCTCCCATCCCTAATACCTCCTTTTTTTAAAAAAATTCCTCCTTCCCTCCCTGCCTTGCCTGTTTCCTTCCCAGACTCCCCGCTGCCTAAAACCCTCCACCCCATCACCACCGCTGTGAAATATTGAGTCCCAGTTTTCCATTTCCTTCCCATTCTGGGAATTCCCCTTGGGACTCAGGAGTCCCAAGCCTCTGCTAGCAGCCGCAATAGCTGTTGCTCTGCCTCCATAGAGATAGCAATGCATTCCAACACCAGTTGAGTGTTGATCTTATGCTCAGACCTTGTTTCTGGGTTTCCCAATAGAGGCATCTGGTTGGTCACTGTGAGAAGAAGATGGTGGACTAAATGGACCACTGGCCTGATGTTCTTAATTCTCATCCTCCATGAAGGGGCATTTCCGTGAGGAGTCCCAGAGCTTACAGGGTTAATAGCTCAAGGGAAATGACAGTCCTGTTCCCGGGATATGATTCTGAACTTACTTTCACTTTCTGTTTTGGCTGCAAAGGAAAGGCAACATGTCGTCGCTCTCACCTGGCTGACATATTGTTTTGCTGCTGTACCTCAAAGCTTCGTAGAACGGAAGAAGCTGTGTACGAGAGTTTTACAGTCATATCTTGGGCTGAATATGCTTCGGGTTGAGTGTTTTCGGGTTGTGCTCCATGGCGACCCGGAAGTAATGGAACGCTTTACTTCTGGGTTTTGCCACTCGCGGATGCGCAGACGCTCAAAATGACGTCACGTGCATGCGCGGAAGCGGCAAATCACGACCTGCGCACGCGGGTTGCGTTCGCTTCAGGATGCGAACGGGGCTCCGGAACGGATCCCGCTCGCATCCACAGGTACCACTGTACTGCCGTGCTGATAAATAATTACACACAGACACACGGCTGCTGAAGAAACTCTGCTATATCCTGGAGAAGCGGAACGACTCAGCACTGCGCAGTGAAAGCGTGCTGGCGCCATTGCATTTCCTGAAGAGGATGGATCCGACACTCAAAACAGACAAGTCAGTTCCCAGTTTCACTCAACAATTTCAACATCTAACTTCCTGGAGTCTGAAGTGGCAGAGATCACACACGAATGAGTTTACTACCCTAATCCTATTGGGAAATTTGCTAGAGGGGAGCGGATTCTGAATATTTTAGAGCTTAGAGCCGCAACATCTAGGTATGATGATTTGCTTCCTAGGCTGTTGGGAGTTTTTTTAGAAGACGTTTTAAAAATCCAGCTTTTGACAGAGCTCTGTCGCTGGACCACATGCTCACTCACAAGGTGAGCAGAAGGTAAGATAATCTCTGCCGAAGTGAAAGGTAGGTTCTCAAACACTCCTGTCTGTCAACATCACTCAGAAGTGGCATTTAACTTGATTGCACAACCCCTAGCTTTTGAGCCTGCAAAGGGTTGGCGACAGCCCTGCTTGTTATAGAAAACTGGGACATCATCAGCCAAAATCTATTTAAATATAGTATGATCACCATCTTCAAAAATCTATGGGGCGGTCATAGGGAAGACGCAGCAAGCTTGTTTTCTGCTGCTCTGGAGGGTAGGACTCAAACGAATGGATTCAAATGGCAATTAAAGGAGATTTCAATTGAATACGAGGAATAACTTTCTGACAGAGCTGTCTGACAGTGGAATGGATCTCAGGAGGTGATGGACTTTCCCTCGTTGGAGGTTTTCAAACAGAGGGGTTCTTTAGCTGTGATTCCTGCATTGAAGAGGGTTGAATTAGATGACCCTTCAACTCTACAATTCCATTTTCTAATACTTTGCTAGGACACCCGAAGAATCATCAGGTTGGCTGACATCTACGCCCTACACCGGAATGGGGTTTGGGTGTGCCCAGCAACTCCCATAATCCCTAATAAGTAACTCTAGAAAGAAATCCACATTCGCAGCAGCTGTCAGTGCCGTTCAACAGATCTATAAGGTTTCGAATGTCACTTTAGTGGGAAAGAATCTAGATTTGGTTTCTCTTCTGTACAGCTACATGCGCAGCCCTCTCCTCAGAGCCTGCTTCTGAGAAGGATGCAGGCAAGGCTGGCCGAAAGGGCCAAGGCCACTTGGACGTAACCCATCTTGAAGTCGGAGGCTCCGTTGACGTTGCAGAGGTCGGTGGCGCAGCAGGAGACATTCCTTCTTCCCACCTTGAAGTCGCTGAAGTATGGATCACATGACGCGGTACATTCTTTCGAGATGACGTTGAAAAGTCCCACGACACCTGGGAAGAAAGATCGGGAGCAACAGCAGCAAGAATATTATTGGCACGAAAATGGAAGCAAGAAGAATCACCGACGAAAGAAGAATGGCAAATGAAATTAATGGATGATGCAGAATTAGATAAATTTAGAGGAAGGATTCGAAACCTGCGGGATCAGAGATTCATAGGTGTTATGTACTGAGTTGAAAAGGATCCAAAATGCAGCAGTCTGATTGGTCCTAGAACAATAGGATTCAGAATGCAGCAGTCTGATTGGTCCTAGAACAATAGGATTCAGAATGCAGCAGTTTGATTGGTCCTAGAACAATAGGATTCAGAATGCAGCAGTCTGATTGGTCCTAGAACAATGCAGCAGTATGATTGGTCCTAGAACAATGCAGCAGTATGATTGGTCCACAGGAGCCACCCAATCCAGCTCCAGTTGGAAGTGAATCCACAACCTGATTGGCCTACAGGAGAATCCCAGAATTAGCCAATCATGTGCAGCCCATTGTGTAAATAATGTATATAAAGCAGATATTTTGGGGAAACTTTCATTCCTCCTCACCACTATGAGCTGAATAAAGAGCATGAAATCCACTCTTGACTCCGAGTATATTTCAATTGAAGACGGGAGTAAATATTTGAACTATTTGAAAAGCAATTGTAATAAACAGATTATGCTAGCAGGACTGCAAGAAGTTTTGTAAGGAGGATTAGGTGAAATATTGCAAGGAAGACTATGAAGAGAATTATTAGTTAAGGACAATTAAAAGTAACAGATAAATTAAGAAATGCAGAACAAGTGATAAAGAACAGAAAATCTTCAGAGGAAGAATCTCTGGTCCCGCAGGTTTCGAATCCTTCCTGTCAGTTTGTCTAATTCTGTACAGTCCATTAATTTCATAATTGTTGAACTTTTTAAAGGAAACCTCCCAAATCGTTGAGGTTTTTATTTGCAAAAATGCCAAATAAATGCAATTTTTTGATTGACTTGTCTAAGATCCAGGACAAAGCGCTGCCTTTCGGCAATCTCCCCCCGGACATCAATTTGAAATCCTGGTAATGTCTGGGAAAATCTGGACGTATGGCAGCCCTATGCAAGCAGGATTGGAGAGCAAGAGTGTTCTCCTGTCCAGTTGCAGTTTCTGACAAATGGTACAGTGGTACCTTGGTTTGGGGACGCGGGTGGCGCTGTGGGTTAAACCACAGAGCCTAGGGCTTGCCGATCAGAAGGTTGGCGGTTCGAATCCCCGTGACGGGGTGAGCTCCTGTTACTCGGTCCCTGCTCCTGCCAACCTAGCAGTTCGAAAGCACGTCAAAGTGCAAGTAGATAAATAGGTACAACTCTGGCGGGAAGGTAAACGGTGTTTCCGTGCGCTGCTCTGGTTTGCCAGAAGCGGCTTAGTCCTGCTGGCCACATGACCCGGAACTGTACACCGGCTCCCTCGGCCAATAAAGCGAGATGAGCGCCGCAACCCCAGAGTTGGTCACGACTGGACCTAATGGTCAGGGGTACCTTTACCTTTACCTTACCTTGGTTTGCAACCATTTCGGATTACAACCACATCAAACCCGGCAGTGCGTGTCCCTTTTCTGGGATTACAACCCATTTTGGGGGGGAGGCCCCATTGGCGAAAGCACACCTTGGGTTACAACCTGTTTTGGTTTACAACTGGACCTCCAGAACGGATTATGGTTGTAAACCAAGGTACCACTCTATTCGGAAGCATTGCTGCCTCCAACGTAAAATTAATAAAAATGATTATATAGATATAAAAAGGTAAAGGGACCCCTGACCATTAGGTCTAGTCGGGACCGACTCTGGGGTTGCGGCTTTACTGGCTGAGGGAGCCGGTGTGCAGCTTCCGGGTCATGTGGCCAGCATGACTAAGCCACTTCTGGCGAACCAGAGCAGCGCACGGAAATGCCGTTTACCTTCCTGCTGGAGTGGTACCTATTGATCTACTTGCACTTTGACGTGCTTTCAAACTGCTAGGTTGGCAGGAGCAGGGACCGAGCAACGAGAGCTCACCCCATTGCGGGGATTCGAACCGCCGACCTTCTGATCGGCAAGTCCTAGGCTCAGTGGTTTAGACCCCAGCGCCACCCGTGTCCATATATATATATATATATATATATATATATATATATGCAAAAATAAGAATAGCGAAAATCAAAGGACACAGAGAAATAATTGCCTTTCTTGCCGCTTTTGTATTAAAAAGGGGGCATAAAGGTTTATTTTGAAAGCAGGATTTTTTAAAAGTTTGGTTCCAATTCTTGAGGAACTGAGGAAGGAATAACAAACCCAACAGAAGAAGAAGGGCACCTAAGAAATGGTCTTACCAATGACATCTGTTTTGCATACTTGTCCAATTCCATCACAGTTTTGCTGTCCTTTGCAGTTATTGTTGTTGACCTGGGTGTTGCAGGTGTAACACTTCAGTGAACCAGCTGTAAGAGAAGGAAACGGTTTAATGGGGGAAAGGAACAAACTGAAGAAGCAACACTTTGAAAATTCCTGCCTATTAATTGCAAAATCAACCCCTGTGTTGCAATAAGAACCTTGAATCTTGAATTTTATTATTTCGGTCACAGACCAGTTCCAGCCACATACAATATCAAGGAAGTCAAAAAACACAATAGGGATACATTTGAATTTGCAATTAGGTATAACAGGGACAATACAGATATAGCAACAGTTAAAAATATATAAATTAAAACTTAGTCACTAGCATATAACCTAAAATTATCATTTAAGGCCTTAAGCATTATGATAGCACAGCTTGTTCCCTAAGTTTTATGGCAATCGCACAGAATTTGGCTACCCTTAACGTAATCTCAGGATCCTTGTCCTCTACCAGGGATTTTAGACACTGAAGTTCAGATTCAATTGGAGATTTTTGCATAGCAGGGGTAATAAATACTGAGCGTATATCCCCATAGAAATGGCAGCGGAACAAGGCATGAGAGACAGTTTCTACCTCCATCAAGCCGCAGGGGCAGACTTGTTCCGTGTACGGTTTACCCTCGAATCTGCCCTGCAATAAGGCAGATGGCAGCACGTTGAATCTAGCGAGGGTAAATGACCGTCTGTATTTAGGTATCTGTAATTTTGACAAGAACCAATCACAACAATACAAACACAACACAATATATAATCGAATAATGATATCATTCCAATTATAGGAATAAGCCAATCAAAGTTCATATGGACAATATAACAGAGCAGTAGCGAGGACCGCCAAGCCGTGTGCTCAAAACAGATGTCTAAGGACAGTCTCACAATAGTCTTTCGGAAGTTTCCAAAGTAAAGTCTCTCAAGAGTCTTTTGAAAGTTTCAGCGGAAGACGTCTCAAAAGTCTCAAAAGGACAGTGTCTCCGGAATGATACTACTGTTTCATAATAGTCTTCGTCAGCCGATATTTTTCAACAGACTATGTAAGTAAGATTCATACTAAGGATCAGTGCTCACTAAATAATACCAGGCAAGTGCCTTCACTGTACTCTTTTTGAAACCTCTTAAAAACTTTTTTGTTTAGGTAAGTCCAGTGCTTTTAAAAAAAAAAAGTTTAGGGGTACTCTCCTTTTCCAACTCATATTGAAAATTTGGCCCTTAATGAGGCCAAAGTTAGATTCACAAAATGTTTAGGGGTATGCGTACCCTGTGTTCCTCCCAGAAAAAAAAAGCACTGGGCAAGTCTACCAGAGGCTTAGGAAACTGGTGCAAGTTTTAAGCTGTTTCCCCCTCTATTGTTATGTTCACTTTTCAAAAGTCTTCAATTACTGTTGTCAATTTTTCTTAATGATTGTTTTATCCCCCTTTTTTGTAAACTGTTTTAAGGTTACGGGCCATCAAAATCAGACCGCTGTCAGTTTCCATATCTAATATGTTGGAGAGAGTTCAAGAACAATCTTACATCCTCCCTGGAACCTTAGTATTTATTAATTGATACATAGCCTATCAGTGTTCCCAGTGCTTTGAGTACAAGAGGATAGGAGCGTCCCTTGACAATCTTATAATCAAAAAATAAACCAGGGGAAATGACACAGTTAAGGGGAAGCAGGGGTAAATCAGTCAACAAGTTCTTTGGCTCGGCTCCTGTGTGTTAGGGCACTGGACGCCTCTGCCAAAATACGCACATTTCACAATGCAATTTTAAACCTAGCACACATAGGTTTTCAAAACAATTCCCCCCAATAGAATGAATGTCTGAATATCGCTTCCCTCTATACTATGTTTGCACTACATCGTTGTCATGCTGTAATGACAGTCTGAGCCACCAGGAGGGGCAAGAGGCACAAGGCCTGAGCTGAGACTTAGAAGCAGGCTCTTGCAAGGATATACCTCAGAGCTTGAATGGGTCACCTCGGGAGGAAGAAGAGGTGCGGCCGTGAGCAGCTAGAAGGGGGGCTCTCCTCCCTCTCTTTCTGCTGGTGCTGAGGAAGGCTTGTGTGTGTGAGAGAGAGAGAGAGAGAGAGAGAACGAGAGAGAGAGAGAGAGAGAGAGAGAGAGACTGCAGACATCATTGTCCTTTGGGGAAAACTCTGGGTGGGAGAGAGGGTGGCCAGGGGTGAGGCTGGGGAAGATATCAGAACCCTTTGTGGGTTCAGAAGTTGAGGAGAAGAGATACAATTGTCATTTTTGAGGGGAGCTGTTGGTGAGAAATAGGGAGGCCTGGGGTGGGGAGATATTGTGGCACTCAGAGCAAGCAGGATAGCTCAATCCTCCCTCCCAAATTCCTGTATATATCCATTTTTATGCACACCTTGCCCTAGTCTGGTTTTTTAAAAAAACGTATCGTTTGGCTGGAAAACTGCATTTCTCCAGATTTTGAAGGATGGCTCTATTCCCGTCCACAGATTGTTTCAGAAACTGCAAATTAGTTAGGTTCTCCTTTCAACTTGAACCGAATTGAATTCTTACCCCATCTCTGGTGCCAAGTATCTAATGCAGTAATTTCAAACGACAGTATCTGGCATACCAAATATAAAAAACCAAAAAACCGTAACATGCTAAATTCCATTGCACGCCAACGATAAAACTCTGGCAAATATTGACATTTGAGGCATTTGTAAAATTCCCGTCTCGAAGGTTCGATTAAGAGTCAAAGTTTCAGAGAATGCTTGGGGAATCTTAACAGGAAATAACCCTAATAAGGGCTGTGGGAGCAAACTCGTTTAAGTTATGTTTTGGAGGTCTTTAACTTCCAAATGCCAGAGACCAGAGTTTCAATCCTTACTTGGGCATTGTGAAACTCACTGGGTGACCTTGGGTTCCAGTCCGTGTCTCCCAACCCAAATCACCTCACAGAGTTGCTGTTGGAATTAAATGGGGAGGTTGAGAACAATTTTTGCCACTTTGATCTCCTTGGAGGAAAAAAAAAAGGGGGGGTATAAATGCAATGCAATCAATTGATCAATTGATCAATCCATTTATTTATTGCACTTATATCCCACCTTTTCCTCCAAGGAGTTAGAGGTGGTGTACATAGTTCTACCGCTCCTTATTTAATCTCCACAACAACCCTGTGAGGTAGAAAAAACAAAAAAATTCCTTCCAGTAGCACCTTAAAGACCAACTAAGTTAGTTCTTGGTATGAGCTTTCGTGTGCATGCACACTTCTTCAGATACACCCAGGTAGGTTAGTGAGGTAGGTTAGTCTGAGAGGCAGTGACCGGCCCAAGGTCACCACTGAGCTTCATAGCAGAGTGAGGATTTGAACCCTGGTCTCCCAGGTGAGAGCTGGACCATCAAGAAGGCTGATCGCCGAAGAATTGATGCTTTTGGATTATGGTGCTGGAGGAGACTCTTGAGAGTCCCATGGACTGCAAGAAGATCAAACGCATCCATTCTTAAGGAAATCAGCCCTGAGTGCTCACTGGAAGGCCAGATCGTGAAGCTGAGGCTCCAAGACTTTGGCCACCTCATGAGAAGAGAAGACTCCCTGGAAAAGACCCTGATGTTGGGAAGAAGAAGAAGGGGACGACAGAGGATGAGATGGTTGGACAGTGTTCTCAAAGCTACCAGCATGAGTTTGACCAAACTGCGGGAGGCAGTGGAAGACAGGAGTGCCTGGCATGCTCTGGTCCAGGGGGTCACGGAAAGTCGGACATGACTAAAAGACTAAACAACAACTCCCAGGTCCTAGTCTGAAGCTTTAACCACTCCACTCCACTGGCTCTGGTTGGCTTCTGAAGGACGAATTAAGGTTTTGACAGCTCACAGAGCTGAGTTTCCTAGAAGAAATACGCTCAGAATGAAGAAAAACCAATTGAAAGACTTACTCGGCTGCATGAAGAAGCTTCCAGCCACCACGAAGATCAGAAGGGCCTTCATCGCTGGTGGATGTCTTCGTCACACGGGGAATGGAACATCCTCACGTCTTGGGGCTGCTTTATATACTCTGAAAAGTAACTGTTGGCCCACATGAGACTGGGAGGATCATTCCAGCTTCTGGCAGGACCAATGGGGCTTCTGCTCACCAGGAATGTGAGGCATCACCAACCCTCCTCTCCAAACAGGAGTTCCCCTGCCTGCCCTTGCGGTGCCCTTAGGCAACTCAGAGCACAGCAGTGGAACTAAGCAGATGAAAAATGAGGTGGGCATAGGGTGTGGTGGGTATTTTTGGGGGCAAATGGTCCCTTCCCTCCTTGATCAGGGCGGGTGAGATTTCTCCTGCTCACATGTCTAAGCGATGACACTCGCTTTATCCACCCAGACCGGCATACCTTGGTCTGTTGGCTTTCATAGATGCCAATTATGAGCTGCCAAATTCAATCTGGGCTTAGGGTTGGAGGATGCCTGAGGGCATCTAAGTCAGAACAGGTTAAGCTTTATCTATACCTGAAAGCTATTTCCACACCTTAAGACACCTTCAAGCAGTGCGAAGTCTACAGGCCTTGCTGCTAACATGCTGCCATCATTCTCCAAAGGAGACAGAGGAAGAACTGGTTGGACCCAAGAGGAGGATTGCATACAGTCATAGGACGGTAGAGTTGAAAGGGGTCATCTAGTTCAACCCCCTGCAATGCCCAGCTGAAGACTCCCTGCCACAAACTACGTGGAATCACGGCATGTTTGCCACGATGCCACACACTGAAAAAGCCACAGGATTTGAGCCAGGGGTCAGCTGCTGCAGAATGACCGTTTCAGACTTTCTTTTTCTCCTTTAAAGAAATCAGGTTTATAGTGGGGGTACCTTGGTTGTCTAATGTCTCAGAAGCCAAACGTTTCGGTTTTTGAATGCCGAAAACCCGGAAGTAAATGCTTCTGTTTTCCAACATGCCCTGGAAGTCGAACGGCTGAAGTCCCCCCCCCCCCCCCGAAAAAATTCTCCACTGAATTTGCGGACCGCCTATTGTGCCTCTGTTTTTGAACGTTTCAGAAAGGTCTTCCGGAATTGATTAGGTTCGAAAACTGAGGTACCACTGTGCTTGAGGAAAGGAGCAAGTGTGGAGATATTTAATGGAGGGGCTTGGTAAAACTTTATGATGAAGTTGCTTTCCTCCCGATCTGGTGGAACGCTCTGTCACAAGAGACCAGGGCCCTGCGGGACTTGACATCTTTCCGCAGGGCCTGCAAGACGGAGCTGTTCCACCAGGCCTTTGGCCAAGGCACAGCCTGACCCCCTCCTTTGGCAATCTTCACAGAATCTCTAGCCCAATGGTTGCCATGAATTTGATTTTGAATTCATTTTAGAATGAATTGATTTTAGAATGCTGTGTTACTTCTATTGTTGTTAGCCGTTCTGAGCCCAGCTTCGGCTGGGGAGGGCGGGATATAAATAAAAATTATTATTATTATTATTATTATTATTATTATTATTGGGGAAATATGGTTGGAAGTGTTTGGAATCTTAGAAACAAAGAGTGCATGGTTCAACTATGGAACTCACTCCCGCAGGCGGCAGAAATCGCCACCAACTTATACGGCTTTAAAAGACAAATTAAAAGATAGCGATGGGCTATCAAAGGCTGCTAGTCGTGATGGCTAGCATGCTCTGACTTCCACAGTCGAAGGAAGCAATGCTTGTTGCATCCCGGTTGCTGTAAATCAAAGGAAGAGAGAGGGATTTTGTGCTTGAATCTTGCTTGTGGGTTTTCCAATAGAGGCATCTGTTTGGCCCCTGCAAGAACAGGAGGCTGGACTAGATGGGCCATGGGCCTGATCCAGCAAGCTCTTTTATGTTCTTAAGCAATGCTCTATAACAACATAAGAGCTGCCTGTAGCAGGTGAAACCAAGGGTTCCTTTAGGGCACCGTCCTACCCTTTCCCTGCTTAGCAGCAAGACCTGCTTGTTCTAGCACTACATAGTCTGGCATAAGGTTGTTGTTGTTGTTGTTGAATTGCTCTGTTACTCTAGCATTGACAGTGCAATTCTATGCAGGTCTACTCACATTTCCGAGCACAATTCAAAGTGTTGGTGCTGACCTTTAAAGCCCTAAATGGCCTCAGTCCAGTATACCTGAAGGAGCGTCTCCACCCCCATTGTTCTGCCTGGACACTGAGGTCCACCACTGAGGGCCTTCTGGCGGTTCCCTCCCTGCAAAGCTACAGGGAACCAGGCAGAGGGCCTTTCTCGGTGGTGGCACCCACCCTGTGGAACGCCCTCCCATCAGATGACAAAGAGATAAACAACTATCTGACTTTTAGAAGACATCTGAAGGCGGACCTGTTTAGGGAAGTTTTTCATGTTTGATTGTGCTTTTAATATTCTGTTGGGAGCTGCCCAGAGTGGCTGGGGAGACCCAGCCAGCTGGGCAGGGTACAAAGAAAAATTATTATTATTATTATTATTATTATTATTATTATTATTATTACCATAGAACTGAATGAATGTTGCAAATTACGTGAAATGAGTGAAATTATGCTCATTCGCACAATTTGTATGCGTTACGGAGATCCGGTTTTTTTTCTTACTGCCAAATTTGGGTCTCCCTTGGTGAAGGATTTTGACGACGTTCTAAGCTCATAGCTGTAAACACCACTTTGGCTTTTGAGAACACAGAGTCCATATTTATGCAATGCAAACAATAATACAGTGGTACCTCGGGTTACATACGCTTCAGGTTACATACGCTTCAGGTTACAGACTCCGCTAACCCAGAAATAGTGCTTCAGGTTAAGAACTTTGCTTCAGGATGAGAACAGAAATCGTGCTCTGGCGGCGCGGCGGCAACAGGAGGCCCCATTAGCTAAAGTGGTGCTTCAGGTTAAGAACAGTTTCAGGTTAAGAACGGACCTCTGGAATGAATTAAGTACTTAACCTGATGTACCACTGTAGAGGCAGTAATAGTCCTTCTGTTGCAGCTGCTCTTGTGTGTGGCAGACCTGTGTGGATGAGCTATCATCACCAACAGCATCAATTGCCATAGTCTATTTCAAATCTCATTATGTTTTGCAACAGAGCCCTGTAAATTTGGCAATGTTGCGCCCATTTTACAGATGGAAGGCTGAGCCTCGTGAGGTAGGATTTGAACCGGGGGCTTCCTGAACTCACACCCAGACCTAGAGGTTGCTGCAGCTGCCTGTAACTCAGAACAGCAACGCAGAGATTACAGGAAAGCAAGTTTTACAATACTGCCCCTTATACTATCCTCCTTTAGTGAGCCAGAGAAGGTTTTTTTTCTGGCCCTGATCCTTGAAGTCAAGAGACAAGGGATTCAACCACAGACCATCCGCATGGAGGAGCAGGGACTCTACCACTGAACTACGGCCGAATCCGGCCAACTTACTGGGCACACATTGGATGGCTTGTCTGTCTTGCAAAGGAGGGTCCTTCTTGGGCTCTGAGTCCTATTGGTTCAGCAGCCTGCTAGGATTTGACATCAGCGCTGGGTGAAGTGTCATAAATACTTGCTATCTGGATCATCAGGCAGCCAGGGCACAGGTGCTGCCCGATTAGCCTGGTCCACTTTCCACTGTGTGCAAGAGTGTGAATCAATGATAACATCAACATTGAGCCACCTCCAATTCCATAGTTTTTTGTTTGGCCCGGTATTAAATGTCTCTGCTTTTCTCAAAAAAGAAAAGAAATAAAGAATTAAGCAGCAGAGCGGCATTCAAAATGAGATATGTATTCCTGTCTCTGTGGAGAAGTTTCACTGCTTCAGGTAAAGTCACTTCCGCCTTAGGAGGAGGTGGGGTTGCAGGCTTCACGGCCCCTCCATGTGCACGGTGGGTGCAGGCCAGCCCCGCGCGATTGGGGGAATTCCTGGCCGCATCACCCCCTGGCCAGCCAATAAGCTGGCTCTGGGGGCGTGGCCTGCCCTATTTAAAGCAGGACGTGGTTGGGGATCTCCCTCTTTGCCGCCCGCCAGCTGTTCCTGTTTCCCACCCTCCCACCCTATAAGGTTCCTTGACCTTGCCATGGACCTCAGTCGGTTGCCGTTGAGGGGCCTGCTAGGAATTTTCCCACTTGGCAAATTGGCACCAGCCACGGTTTTTTGCCGACCTCGTAGCAAATCATTACAACTTTCTTGGTATTGGCGGTTAGGCATTGGTATCGTTCTGTAGATGGAAGAGGGGAGGAAGCGTCATCACCTGCCCCACATATGAAGGGTAGTCCGTTAAAGGAGGGGCGTGGCCCTGTCCGAAGCCTATGGAGTCGGATATAGTTGTTTAGGACCAATGCCTAAGCCAATACCGCTCATCACCTGTAACCAATAAAGTTGTGGCCTTTTTTCGCCCATTAACCTTAATAATTTTGTCATGTGTCATTATTTCCACCTGGGGGTGTCGGGAACTCAGCACACAAAAGATGGGGTGGGAGCTATTGCTATATCTATTTTCTTTACTTAATCTGTTGGAGGTCCTGTTTGTTTGTGTTATGTACTGAAGTTCTCACCCTGGGCCAGCAGGGGGATACTGTAGATAGTTATGCAAATAAGGGATCGAAAGTGACGTTCAGTGATTGGATAGTTTTAGAAAATTGTTACAGTTACGTTGTACTGGAGCTCTATATAAGCAGGCTGACCGAACCCTTCAGTTCAGTTCTGTTCTGGCCTGTGAATAAACAAGAGCTGTTTGAAGAATCGCTGTGTCGTCTGATATGTTCACCCACAACTTAACAGTTTGACTAGGCTATTTGGATAAATTGGATATTCTAACTTGTTTAGCTTAGTTTAGGTTCTTTTTTTAGCTTAGTTTTATTGATGGAGTTGTCTTGTTTTTGTCTCACTTTTTCTTAGCTCTTGTTCCTCAAGACTCTTAGGAGTATCCATTTGGTTCTCTCTTTTTGAATCTGTAAAATTGGATTCTGTAATTCTGGCATATTCTGAATTCAGAAAGGGGCAAGCCAAATGGTCAAAGCATTTTCCTCCATGTGGAAAGGCTGTAGCACTTGGGAGTTCCTAGTTCAGAAAAAATATGAGGAAGAAATGACATGATAGAAGTCTATAAAAGTGACATGATGTCTATAAAACTTTGCATGGCCAAGCTGCGGCTGTAGAGACCAATACGAAAGAGACACTTTGACTTTCAGCAGTATGACTGTACCCTCAAAGGTGCTCTCCTCTCCCGCCTCCTGAGACAGATGGGTGCCAACAACATTATTTAATTTCTACGCTGCTTCATAGCTTTCTATACAGCTTAATCTATTAAA